ATATAAAAAAATTATATTTTATGAACCAACCTATAGCATTTAGTGATTTGTTCCCAAATCTAAGTATTTGGGTTCCATTGATCAAAAGTTTTTTTTTTCACTAATAACTTAAAAAATTTCCCCATTTTCCTAATTTCCCAATGTAAAAAAAAAAAATCATATTTTATAATTTAAATTAGGATCATGATTGAAACATACACATTCATACTACACTCCTGTTACACATTCTTTTTTCTGTTAACTTTCACATACTGTTAGTTTCCATTTCACACACCAAGTTCCCACCTTTTTCCCTTTTTTTTTCTCCCAGGTTCTCGAGAGAACCTAGACCTGTGTTCTTCCCAGAGAACCTAGGTCGAGTTCTCCAAAAAAACAAAAAACAAAAAAAAGGAAAAAGAAAAAAGGTGGGAACCTGGGAGAGGTTGGTAATTGTCTTGCAAATGGTTAGGATAATGATGGAGGTGAGGAGGAAGATGGATCCGATAAGGACAGAAAGGGTTTGGTGAGTTGGAAGATGACTGAGAAGATGGTAACGGAGTTAAAATGTGATTAACAGTAAAATAACAAATATTGAAGGGTATAACGGAGTGTGTGGTATGAAAGTATGCATGGATTATTATCCTTTAAATTATGAAAATCATCAAAAGAGAGAAAAACTTATAATATTAAGAGACTTAACCTTTATTTAATAATATAGTTAGTATTGTGTAATTTAATGTAATATAAATTGTATAATATTTTTTAATTAAAATAACCAAAAATTAAAATTTCAATGTGTGTTTTTTTTGTCTGAGACCGCGAGTTCAAGGCTCAATGAAGATAGAAATCTAGCTAGAGATTAGTAATATAAATTTTTTGTTAGAAAAATACAATAGTACGTAGATCAAAGAGATGTCCATAGATTTTGACGAAGACCTGCAGGTGCATATATGTGTATTGACTGGTAATACTAAAGAAGCTGTGAAAAATTACAACATTATAACATTAAAAATATTATAATATTTAATTAAAATTATATAATAAATAAAATGTAATATAATTTTACTTAAATTTTATTTATTATGTAATTAAAATTAAATATTTTAATATTTTAAATATGAAGATATTTTTATTTTTATTTTTCTAAATATTGAATACTTAGCGATTGTTTTTGTGTGGAGTCGTCACGAAATATACTTAGATGTAGCACCATAACAGAAGGTGGGTAATTTTTTTCTTGGAAGCTAGTTTGAAAACGAGTTACTCTATGAATAGCAATTATTTCAAACTTAATTAAAAGCAAGACTATATTCCAATTCAATCAATGGGAAATTAATCTCGAGAATTTGCTCTTGTGCGAATAAATTCAATCTCTTAATGTCAACTCTATAATGATAAATGGTTTTTACTGTAATTTTTTTTTATTCGCAGAATAGAAACATTTTTTTTTTCATCTTCTAATCTCTTATACTTTAATTTTATCTTATTTATATATTATGTGATTTAAATTTAAAATATTTTACTTTTACTAAAATGAAATTATTAATAAACTATTTAGTTGTTAGTTTATTGTAATTTTTTTGATATATCTATTCATAAATTATATGATAAAAAATAATAATCATTTTTCTTAATTTTTTACATGTTTCAAAATTTAAATTCAATTCTAATTAAAAGTTTCAAACTCTTAACTACTTAAAATCATATTAAGAAAATTTTAATTGTAATTAAGTTGCAACCTATGCTATATATTACGCGTGTTCAATAGTAATATTTTTGTAGGTTGAACTTGGGATAGAAAATCATCAAATTTACTTCGTCCTCGTTTCATGTCCCACACCAACCACTTTATTTTCAATTCAAAAATGACAAAAGCAAAACGGAAATGTTGTACTTTAAAATGAAAGTGGAGGTATCTTTTTTAGATTTGCCCCCTAATTATTCAAATCAACCCCCACTCTTTAATCATCATGTTACAATTATTTACGAGCAGTCCGTCCCTTTATTGCTAATTAATTAGTCTTATATTGGTTCTAATAAAGAATACTATGATTAAGTGTTTTATAATACAATAGACTAGAGGCCAAGATCAGCCGCCCGCTCCACTAAGAGGTACATTGAACTTGCTTAGTACCTGTTTAATCCACTGTAAT